GAGGCGCTTTCACGTTATGGTATTACAACTGTGAAATTACAAACAAAAAATACACATTCTGAGACATGAACTGAAACGAATTGTGAATTTTATTAACATTAAATCGTCCTCCTCCCACTTTCACCTTAAAATTATGGGCCTCCCCCGACGAGCCGCCACTGATAAAATTTAGAAAAACCTTGTAAACCAGCAGATTTGCAAACTATAGAAGACAGGAATTTGGACGAGCGGCTTGCGTGCCATCACGTTTCCTCCAGATATTTGTAATGTTTTACTGAGGAGAAATAAAAGTAGAATGTTCATTTTAACGGCATCTAGCAGAAACGAACGGAGCCGTTGGCATGGACGGAGAGCTCCCTGAATTAGCATATATTTGTTATTCCTAGGGGGAATATGTTCAGTATTGTAATGGCACAAATCGAGCACAAATGAATTAGAACGATTTAGACTCCCAGTAAAAATAAATAAATAAATAAATAAAAAACACGGTCTCACCGTTTCAACTTAATGCTGCTTTGAAATTTAAGCTTAGTCAACTTGAAATATGAAGTTAGTGAAAACTTGGAGCTGACTATAAACTTAAAAAATACCTGACGGTACGAGACTTGAACCCATAACCTTTGGGTTACAAGTCCGACTCTCTAACCATTAGGCCATGACTTCCCCACAATGGATCATAGCCTTTATGGATCATGATCTTCCAGATGCTTCTGTAAAGTCATTATCTCTATAAATGTCCTCTTCTATCTCAGAATTTTTTTTCCCCGGGTCATGTTTGTAACTGGGTTATTTACATCTATTCCTTTAGCTGGCACTTTTATCCCAAGGAGCTTACAAAAGAGGGTCATGCATTCACATTTCACTGATATGAAAGGGCAGTATATGATGAATGTTATGGATGTTGATTGTGTGTGTTTCTCCAGGTGTGGTTCGGGTGGATTATGGCGATGTTTCTGCTCGGAAGGCTTTGAGGGAATCTCTGAAGTGTAAACCCTTCTCATGGTACCTGGAGAACATCTACCCCGACTCGCAGATCCCACGCAGATATTTCTCACTTGGGGAGGTAAGAGAATTTCATTGTTTTCTTTTTTGAAGTTTATACTAATGAGATGGGATCTGGCGCAACTTTACCACTTCACAAGGTGCATGGAAACAAATTATGTACAAGAATATGAAAAAGAATCCAGCATCGCTTGTGATGAAGGGAACTTTAATACTTAAAAAATACCAACGTGTTTCAAGAGCCTTCCTCAGCTTCAACACACATCATACACAGACATTTAAAACCACATCTCCATATTAGATTACTCATTCACAAATTAGCAACAAGCTTCACTCAAGACGTCACACTAATTAATTAGAGTTAACTATGGAAAAGCAACAATCACCCAATCAGAGTAGATCCACATCAGATTAACATATCTTACACATAAAAAAAGTAATACAACACGCTTAAAACCATCATCACAAAACGTCTTCAAGAGAAAAATCCTCATTCATACCTTTTGGAAACAGACTTTTAAAATAAAATATTGTTTTCTTGTTTGACATGGCATTAAAAGAATCTGAGTTGTTAATAAATTGCTTCAGTTTGTCATTTTGCACAATACATATGCAGCTTTATGTGTGGGGTTATGCCAAGACATCTGCAATACAAAACAATTTCACTTTCTGCTCAGCCAATGTTGTTCTTGTGTTGAGCAGTTCTGTTCCCTCAATGCAGTCTGCAATAAATGTATTTGAAGCTTTTCACCAGTTATGCTTTCTCATAAAACCCAAGGACAATGTTCAACTGTGAAAAAAAGAAGAAAAGATGACTTACAGTGCTTGACTGAAAGAACACTGTATTCTATGAAATCTTCAGACTTTATCCTCTTATGTTATTAGATCAGAAATGTTGAGACAAATCAGTGTGTGGATAACATGGGCCGTAAAGAGAATGAAAAGGTTGGCTTCTTCAACTGTCATGGAATGGGCGGCAACCAGGTAAGAAAGTTGTCAAATTAAAGGATTACCGTACAGATAAATTGAAATGTAAACAAAAATTAATTAAAGTCTACAAAACAGAATAGTTCAACCAAAAAAATGGAAATTCTGCATCCAACATTAATCATATCCATCATATCCATTAAACAAACCTCTAAAGTATGGCTTTCTTTTTTGCTGTTGAAAACAAAAGGATATTCAATGCACAATATGGACAATGCATTGGGACTGAGGCTGTAAAAGAATGCAAAAGCACCAGGAAACTATCATCCAAGTATTATGAAATATCCGAAAGTAATACAAACATTTTGTGAGATGAACAGATTTTTAAGTCATTATTAACTGGTTTTAATCTTTACCTCTGAAATGCTGGAAGCAGATCTTTGAGTCAGCGTGAAACTGAGAACTCGAGATCTGGATCAGTGTGAACTGTGATTGAATCATTCAGAACGCATCTGTGAGCTGGATTAATCGATTTGTGAAAAGATATGACTCAAAAAAAAAAATAGTTTGTGAATCATGAACATTATAAGGACAGCTAGGGAAGATGTCAGGATTACTTAGTGAATAACAGCTTAAGTTATGATACTTTTAAGGTGCTTTTGCATCTTTGTTGTAAGCTTCATAGCCTAATTTATGGTTGAACTAATCCTTTGCTCTTTGTTGCTAAATTGAAAGATTGGCTAACACAAGTGCTGAAATGTTGATTATATATGTAAGTAATCAAATGTAAATGTAAATAAAGTAAGGGATTTCATAATAATTAACAGAATTGACTCTCAGTTGATTAATCCGTTTGCAGGTGTTCTCATATACGGCTGACAAAGAGATCCGGACTGATGATCTGTGTCTGGATGCATCACGGCTAAATGGACCTGTTGTTATGCTGAAGTGCCACCACATGAAAGGAAACCAGATGTTTGAGTACGATGCAGAGGTACATATCACACACACCAACAACATCACTCTTGCTCACACTGACTCTAAGTCAATGTTATATAAATATCAAATTACACATAGCTTCACTTACAAAAAAAGAAAAAAAGTTTATTCAAGTGTGCTGTTATAAAAGCAGAAATAAGAGAGTGTATTGTTCACACATATTGGCATCCTTGAGGTTGTACTGTAGCATGTATTTTACATGCTATGTTATAAACATATAGATTTATAGTAATAAGTCAGCTTTGGTGTGACATAGAGTAACTAGTACAAAGGTGAAGCTAAACTTTTTTTTTGCACACAGAGCTATTATAGTACACACATTTAGCTGATTTTATTAACAGTTCTTCCAAGCTATGAAAGTATTGTAACACATTTGATTCATACTGACTTCTACTAAATTTAATCACAAAAAATTCATAAAACATAAGTCTTTTTATGTAGTACATAAATCAAAGGTATTAATAATCCACCGGTATTGTACACAGGAGTTAACTGAAAGTCTACTGACCTAAAAAGGAACTTTATTTTTGCACTTGAAGTATAGTAGTATGCTTAAAGCGCTAAAATATTATCAAAATAATGAACTATGTGTGTGATGTTACGTTTACTTAAAGAACACAAGTATGCTTGCAGAATAAAACATACTAGTAGAATAACTTTAGAGTATACTTCAAAGTGTACTTTTATAAACTAAAAAGTGGGCTACACATATATAGCTACTAAACTAACAGTATACCTTATAGTTTACAGTAAAGCTGCATTACTAAAGAAAAACTTGTGTAAGATGTGAGATGTGTAAGATGCAAACTAGTTATGTACTCAAATTTCACTTCTTAAAGTACACCTGAAAGTATACTTTATAAACTAAAGAGTCAACCAATTTATTAGCAAGAAATACACTTACAAGTATACTACTGGTCATTGAGTTTCGTATACTTAATACATAAGTGTACTTGGAAAATATACTTAAGTGTACTTACATTTACTTAAAATTATACATATTTTTTGTAAGTGTTGTAGCATCTGAAGTCTTGTTCACCCTAAACATGTTGCAGTGGTGGAAGCCCAGGACTAGTTATCAAAAAGCTGTTGGTTTGAGCCCCACAATGATCACAGAATGGGCTCTCAGAAGACGTTTAACCTCAGGATGTTCCAGGGGAACTGAACCTATATTTGTTTTTGGATAAAAGTCAGAAATGACATGTCCATTTGACAAGCGACTCCAGAAAACATGGGTTATGAAAATAAGATGTGGCCTAAGACCTTAAAGGCATAGTTTATCCAGAAATGACAATTCCGTCATTCATGTCATTTCAAACACTTATGCAGTTCCTGCTGTTGGTCTCAAATCTACTTCTGCATATTCAAACTTGCAATGTCTTGATTGGCCATGGACGCATAATCGTCAATTACAGTCGGCCACTTATTTATGCAAATAATTATTTATATAACTCTTTGGTCACACTTTATTTTAAGGTACAATTCTCACTTGTCACGTATTAGCAAGTTCCAAAGATGAAGAAGAGTCGAAGGTTCAGAAACGAAGATAATTTAATGAGCAAAAGTCCAAACTCGTAACAGTGTACACTACATTTAAGCACTGAGTAATATTAATTAACTACATGTACTTACTATATGGTTAGGGTTAGGATTAGGGTTTGGCTTAGGTTTACTTGCATGTAATTATGCATAATTGATTGTTATTATAATAGTAAGTACATGTGACGTGTAACAAGGACATAAATAAAGTGTCACCGAAATCACTAATCAAATCAGTAACCAATGGGAAGTAAAGAGTGGCTGGAAAAACTAAAGGAAGACAGGAATTAATGAATACGAACTAATAGTCCATGATAAAGAAACGAACTAAACATAACTGTGACATCACTAACTATTAACTACAACCTTTGCCTCAATAAACTCCTAATTTGCTGCTTATTGTTAAGTTTAAGTTGTTAAGCTTAGGTGTGGGGTAGAATTACGGGATCTAAAATGTAGTCATGCAGAATTAGGCATTAATACGCAGCCAATATGCTAATATGCATGCTAGTTAATAGTGAGAATGGGTCCTTAAAAATAAAGTGTTACCCATATCACTTTAGAGCTGCAGCTAGCTCGTACCCACCAGATGGTGCTGCATATCACATTATTATCCACTTTGTGTGCTTCTTTATTTTTGGAATATCTCATATTTCTTCCTTCTCTGGATATTGATCGTCCTGGTGCAGAACTGTGCATTTGAGATGCTGTGCACTTACTGGCCTTGGAAACTGATGAACTGTTCTTTCTGTACATATCTTAGTATGTTGGCAAATGGGAGTATGACTTTAAGGTAAGATCATCTGAATTGTGTTTGCTGTGTGTTGTTTGAATATTCTGGTAGTGGTGTTTGTGAACTAGACTCTCACTGTAATTGAGTCACGTTGTGAGTGGTTTAGAAACACGTAAATTCATATACAGGCCTGTACTTGAATATATTACTATACAGCCCCTAACATTTCCACAAGCCTCTCCACACATTGATTTTCAGTGACTATAACATAATCAATATCTGAGATTCATTACAGCATTCTCAAGATATCAAGAAACACGTATGACATACACCACAGCTGAAAAAAGAAGAAGCTTTAGAGATCTTTGGTGCTATCGATATTTTTGTTAATATAACCGATTACACTTCTTTGTCAGCCGGGTCGATTCTGGTGCTCATATTTCCAAATAAATGAGTCGTTTGATTTAAAAGAGGACATCACACTTGAGCCATAATGGACTTTAGTGTTGATTCACAAAGGGGCTCAAGAAATCAGAAGCCATCTAAAAATAGATCGCCGTCCGCTCGGTGGCTTTGATATTGGACACAAACATATATCCAGTGTTTGGTTTTCACCTCTCAGCTGTCTGTAATGCAGGGCATTGTATTTATTCTACCGCTTGGAGGCGTGTGCTGCAGGACTTAATGATCAAAATATAAAGAAAGATGATACTGACATCATTTCGCATCCTAGAATCTCCCACCATTAAATTATGATTCTTTTTCCCATTAATCCATACCTGGCAACCAGATAGACAGGCATTTTTTTGAAAAAAACTCTTAGGTTTTTCACACTGCATGTGAAAATGGATGATTTGGGTTTACCGAGATTGAGTCATTTGCTGCGTTTCTAGCACTGTTTCCAATTAAATAGCTATTTTAGAAGGTAAGGAGACATTAATGCAGCACTGCTCCACCTTAGTCAGCATCATTACAGTTTATTTCTGTCATTACGAGATGAACACAAACTACACACCCACACTTATTTTCTGACATTCCGGCTCTACATTTACATTTCAACATCTAACCTTTTTCCCGTGACCCCCATTAGTTTGTGCCCCTTGTTTAGATCCTCTGTGTGTGTATATATACTGTACAGCTAGATCCCAGAGACCACATTGAAAATCTGGGATTCAAAAGCCAAATTTAAACCTGGAAATAAATAAGTAAACATGGATCATCATGCTTTGTCAATGTCAGCTCAAGTAGTGTTTTCATTAAAACAAAAGTCTGAATTCATTTAAATGTTAAATTTTTTTTTTTAAATGATTTTTGAATGTATTAAAATAGAGGTAACACTTTACAGTAAGGTTCCATTTATTATGTACCATATACTATATATAATGCATTAACTAACAATACATTTTCTTACAGTATTTATTAATCTTTGTTAACGTTAGTTAATAAAAATACAACTGCTCATTGTTAATCCATGTTAGTTCAGGTCTATTAAATAATATTAACAGATACAACTTTTAATAACATTTAATACCCTTTAATAATGTATTAGTAAACGTTGGAATCAACATTAACTAAGATTAATAAATGCTTTATAAGTATTTTTCATTGTTAGTTTGCAAATGTTTTTAATTGTAGTTACAGTAACTAATGTTAACAAATGGTTATTATAAAGTGTTACCAAAAATGGAATAATTTCCACTCACTTTTTATTTCCCTTTTGGACACTTAATTGCAATTAAATAAAAATGTACTATAGCTTACATTTATATTAAATCTGCTGAGTAGGACTTAAGTACATCTTATTAATGCATGATTTCATAAAGATTACTTCGATTGTCTTTGAAATATGGTTTAAAGTGTACTGCCAAATGTACTGACAAGCCTTTACGCTAAACTAAAATATACGTTAATACTTTATATTGTATGTCATGCATGTAAATATATTTATACTTTCACATTTGTAATGATGAAGTTGCAATTTAGTACATTTAAAATATATTTAAATGTAATACTGAATAACACACTAAAGTTAAAATTATTATAATTTAAATTATAATCAAGTACTTTAAAGTGCTGACTAACATACTAAAGCAAGTGTCCTTCTTTAAAGTGTACTTCTATTAAAACTATGATTTAAAATGTAAAAGACTGGGCCACATTTTGACCTCATTATCATCAATACCCATACCTGGTTTATTGTCATCATGTTTTCATGGGATGCACCAGAAACGCACCTTCCTGCACATCATCACCCAGTCGTGTCTGACCATCAGTCGGCTGGAGGACGGGACATACGGCCCGACAGTGGAGTACTGTGACGATAGCCCCCTACAGGCCTGGATCCTCCGAAACTTCACCCGGCAGGAGGTTTTTAAGAAGCTCTACTACAGCCCAACTGATTACTTTCTGTAACTACCACAACTTCCTGTTGATGGCAAGTCAGTTTTGAAAGCACCAGCAGCCCAATCCAAAATCAGCCTGAAGAGGTGATGAGGGTGTGGGTAGGCAACTGATAGTTATTAGAGCTGTTGTAGTGTATAGTGTCCTTTTCCCCACATTCATATAATTGTTGAGGAAACTTATCAGGTGTATCTGAATGATTCTGATTCTGGGTTTAGTCTGACTTACGTTAGTTTGTCTTTCTAGTGTTTTTGAGCTTTGGATATGTAATGGTGCCATGCATGGACTTGCAGGACATGCAGGAAACGATGTATCATTTAATT